CCTTTCCTCATCCTCCACACCACAGCCTATGCCATTCCACCACCCAAATTATGTAGGCGGGAACAAAACAGAACAAAACACACAGGTGACTCTGTCAAGACACTTCATGCTCGGAGGCTATCTATCAACACACTCCGATTTACTAATTACTTCTTAAATCAAATTCACTCCTATTGACTGAAAGTACATGTCTGTTCATTAAAATGTTAGCAAATTGACTCTTCTTTATAAAGGAACTATCTTAGAGAATATAAAAACATAGCCAAAAATACTTTTTAAAAAACCTAACTATAAAAACCTACCTGGGTGTGTTTAAATTATTTTAAATGCTTAGGAAAACAGAAACTCTGATAATACAGAAACGAAACACATGTAGACAAAGGTCCTCCATAACCACAATTCAAATACCTGAGGTAGGCGTCACAGTTTCCAAAGCATTTACCCTTTTCTAATCCTCACAATAGCCTTATGAAGTAGGAAAGTAGGGAAGATATCATTTTATTTGAAGCTAAACAAACAGGCCCACAAAACTAAGTAATTTTTGAATAAAGTTTCAAGCTAGTAAAGATAGAATAAAAACTAGAATTTAGGTTTTTAGGCTTTTCAATAAGTGCTACTTCCAATCTTACACTTTGAAAACTAGTGTAAAAGACACTTGAAAACCTAGGACTTCGTATTTCTTTCTAAATCATGCTCTAATTGCCATATAATTACCTACATATTGTAAACATTCTTAGGTTTATGTCTTGACTATGTAAGAAGAGTAAATACTAGGTGTACCGGTTAATGTTGCAGGATCGAGCCTGCAACATATGTTATATACTTACTATATACGATTTGATATGTATGCTATTTTGTTGTATTGACAACAAGCTTCAAAACTTCATATGTTGAGTTTGCTGAAGGTGTTAACATCATAGATATTTTTATACTTAAAAATGTCCAACTTCGTGTCAAAAAAGGAGCATTTGCGGAGCATTTTCTTATTTAGAAGAAAAGTGCTGCTGAATATTTCCAGGAGCTTATGGGGAACATGCTTCATCTCGAGATACTTATGAACGCTGGTTGAAATGCTTTAAAAGTGATGATTTCGATGTGAAAGACAAAGAGCATCCAGGTCAATCGAAAAAGTTTGAAGACCAACAATTACAAGCATTATTGGATGAAGATGCGTGTCAAACTCAAAAACAACTTGCAGAAAGACTAAATGTTGCTCAGCAAATAATTTCCAATAGTTTAAAAGCAATGGGAAATATTTTAAAGGAAGAAAAATAGGTGCCACATCAACTAAACGAAAGACAAATGGAAAACCGAAAAGTCATCAGTAAAATGTTGCTTCAGTGGCACCAAAGAAAATCTTTTTTGCATCAAATTGTGACTGGCAATGAAAAGTGGATTTATTTTGAGAATCCCAAATGCACAAAATCATGGTTGATCCAGGTCACCCATCAACATCGACTGCAAGGCCAAATCTCTTCGGAGAGAAGACAATGCTCTGTGTTTGGTGGGATCAGGACGGTGTAGTGTATTATGAGCTTCTAAAACCAAGTGAAACCT